ATCAATTCTGATAAAATTGTTTTGCTTGCATATTCTGTAGAAGCACCTCTAAGGGATTTCTTTACATTCATTCCATTAACAAAGGTTTTATAAATAGAAATATATTTTTTATCATTATATATAATTAAGTTTTTCTTTAGAAATACCTTTAATTATTCCCACCTAACCTTATTAGACTTGTGAAATGCGCTGCAATTTTTTCAAGTGTATTATACCTGTCGCCCAGTTGTCTGCCGTCTTGTTCCCGTGTCACCTAGTGACCTAGAAGCGACTGCATAATTCTTTTGGCTTCTGGCCGTATGATCTGTGCCGCCTTTGTGTTGTCTTATTGTTGCGGCATCCTTTTTGCCAGGCTGCAGGTTTGCCATTGTCCTGCCGCCGCAGAACTCGTAGCTAATCATTGCTGAGCCATCGCAGCACACACACACACACACACAAATCCTTTTGATTGAATGACTAACAATAACAGCAACAACAACAACAAGAACAACAACAACGAGTAAAGCCACCTGAAGCGGCAGCAACTTTGTGGCTCAGATCCATGCGGATTGGAGTCTCAGCTCGAAGCGGAGCAGATAACAAATTGCAATTGACAAAGCAACCCGAGTCGAGTCAATCGGCTACAAGATGCGATCGAATTTGCAAGCAACATACGAGTCGCTGCCATACAAATCGATGGCTGGCCATGATACAAGTCGCAGCATTTGTAATTGCCTGCCATGGCTGGCAGGAGGAGAAGGAGGAGGAGCAGGAGGGGCCGGGGGCTCGCAGGAGGCATTTTGGGCATCACGGGATGGGAAGACAGAGTCGGGGCAAATCAGTGAGCGGCGGCGCATGTCACACAACTGCAGCAACAACAACAACAACAACAACAACAACAGTAACAACAACAACAGCAACAAAACAAAGCTCATGCAAAGCAAACATTAGGAAATGCAATACGAATCCGAGTCACAGCCACAGCAGCCACTTAGGCAGTCACTCAGAGCGGGCCAAGCCAGGCCAGGCCGGGACGGGCTAGGCTGAGCTGGAGCTGAAGCTGGAGCTGGAGCTGGGAGTCGTGGTTGTCGTCGTTTAGGACGTCTGAGATTACGACGATTACGTTTTACTCCAAATTTGTATGCTGCCAGAGTTGTAATTGAAAAAGCATCAACATTAATCTTGGTAACTCTCGCGCAAGTCAGCGCCGCGATTCGCATTCGCATTCGAGTTCGCGTTCGCGTTCGATTTCGATTTGGATTCAGATTTCGTAACCCCCACCGATGCAGATCACATAGATAAGACAAACCAGTGAGGCGGGTGTCTCATGTGGGGGCTGCCGCTGCTGCTGCTGCTGCTGTTGGTGCTGCCGCTGCCGCTGCTGCTGCTGCTGCTAAATGCCAAATGCGGCCATGTTAAGGCCAAAAACATATTGCTTAATCGCTGCGCGGATGTGGATGTGGAGCAACAGATATGATCTGGGTCGTCGTCCCGCTCGACAAGTGAGCGAGATGATGATCGTCAACGATTGCAGCGCATAAATCAAATGCCTGAGGAGAAATTGCAACTGACAGAGCAGCCACGACGCTTGACGCTCCACGGATCTACGCTCCATGGATCTACGCTCGACAGTCGTGGACAACTGTGCCGATATTGCGCGGCTCATCAGAGCGTCGAGCATGTAAACTTTATGGCTTTGCCATATGCAAAATGTGAGCGATCGTGGCCAGCATGCGACACCCAATGCCCCTACCGCAACCTCCTCATGCGGCTAACAGTCTCTGCCAACCTGTCAGCGATCTTAGCCAGTGTCAGTCAGTTAGTCAGCCAGCCAGCCAGCCAGCCAGTCAACCAGGCAGTGTGAGCGACCTTAACTGTAAAGCCCATCCACATCCACATTCACAGACCGCATTCAGTTCTGGGCCCATGGCTCGATCAAGTTCTGCGCCTCGAGTAACATGACCCAACAACAAGCGTGGCGTTAGTTGTCGCTAAGTGCAACTCGTTGAGTCAGTCGCAGTCTCGTCACAGTCCTGCCCCATCAACTTGTTGCCAGCTTAATGGCAATAGAGATGAACGCGTGCTAAATGAATGAGAGGCAAGCACTTCGAAGAGCTTATTAGATCATTATCTTTGGTGCTATTATTAAGTATTTGTGTAATATATGGTAATGGAAACTGTAAGGTAAAAATGGATACTTAAGAGCAATATCAATTAATACTTTGTCTGGCACTTTACATAAGAGATCCAATATATACAATTATTATAGATTTAATCATAAAATAAGAACTGAATTTTAGTTTATCATGCAGCTAAACTATGTAAATATATATTTTTAAATCGGCTTATTATATACATCTTTTGCTATAATATTGATTATATTCATATAAAGACTGGAAGTGTGTTTCCTTATATTCTAAGGCTAAACTCTAAATAGTTTCAATATTTCCATCTATAAGTTAATGTTCAGTTTGATATGCCATGGATCCCAGCATAATGTAATAATGTAATATAAACACTTTATATTACATTATTATCTTTGTTATGATTAGGCATTAAAAGCATATCTACAACTACTATATTTCTGACAGAATTTCTCCAATTTACTTGTCTAACTTCCCAGTCACAATCTATTGACAAATCCACAACGAAGCCAGAGTAGATTAATAGTCTCTTATAATTATCACGTCCATTGTAATATTGATAAAATAGATTAAAATTTAATATATTTTGTATTTTTATATATTTGTTTGTTATATAACTTTTCACTGTAAATTTGATCTGTGCTGACAGGCACTTGAGCATAGCAGATGCCCTTGCTCATCTCTAGCAGGCTCTCTAGCATTATGCATTCCTTTCTCTCTTTAGTTCTCTATCTATTGCTTCCTCTCTCTATCTTTCACTCACTCTCTCTCTCTCTCTCTCTCTCTCTTTCTCTATCTTAGCTTTGCTCTGTTAAAGCTAAGCATCGTGCCTTTTGCCTTTGCTGTAGATCGCCAAGCGTTGATAAATGTTGTTACTTGTCGTTGCTAGTTGTTGTTGTTGTTGTTATTGCTAGCCAGAGTCGTTGCAAACGTCGTTCGATCGATGGGTGGTTATAGTTGACATGTCGTTTTGTGTTTCCTATGCTCATCATCGTCAGGGACGCGCCGGCAACATGATCAATGAGCCACAAGCAGCAACAGCAACAGCAACAACAACAGCAACAACAAGAAGAAGATACGAGTCTAAGGCTATACGATCGTGGCCTGGCTCTGCCACACTGATTGCCCTTGACAAGTTGGTATTTTCCTGAACGGTTAATTGTGGCGATGATTTTTGTCAGCGGCATCAATTTAATTAGTGTTGGCCGCCTCCTCCGATGATGCCCACCCAACAGATATTGCTTCCTGCTTGGCAAAGCGGACGCATCTTCAGCAACAGATTTGAATTTCATAAAGCCCAAAAGTAGAATTAAATATTGCATATATCACAGTCAAAGGGTAGAAAGTAGCGACCGCTACAATACCCAGCACATATCCGAATCGTTAATTTGCAGGCAAATCGATTCGATTGCTGCCCGGCGCGATTGCATCTACTTGACACACATCGCACGCAAATCAAATCGATGCGGTAGCATTTACAGAATATCGTATCGTTTATGGAGTGCTCGCTTACAAGCCGCTAAAAGATGCGATACGACGTACTCATCCGAAAATAACTAGCAATCATCTCGGTCCGCACAGCAGACTACACACACACGCACACACACAGATAGCCCACGCCCAAAGGCAAAAAAAAAAAGTACAGCTTCAATAAAAAAATTTACAATTTATGTATGTGACTTTCTTCATGCAATGGAAAACAGGCCTACCTTTGAAAAGAGTTTTCGGTGCGGCTTGGCGACAGTGAGCCAGCCCAGGGATCTATCTATCTATCTATGTCATAGATGCTGAGGAGAGATGATCAGCTGGGCGTGTGTTGCTCAATGCTGGAACTGGAAACTGTTCTCTCCATCTGCTGAGCATTGGGTGTACTGCAAGTGTTTTGCAATTTGTTGTTTTCCAATGGCTGTGTTTATTTTCACTTTAATCGAAACCGCAAAGAAAGTGCATAGAACGGTAGTTCGGGCCATGCAAACCAACGAATTGCTATGAAAATATATGCTAAAAACTGTTGCAAGACATTCACGTGTTAAGCCGAACACCACGCCACGGACCACAGCATGCAGTGGAAAGCAAAAAGAAAGCATCACATTCACAGTGCCTAGACAATTTACTTACTATTCAAAATAAATCTGGACTCATGCTCGATGGAATCCAATTGGATGACGCGCATAGCTCTGCTGGATCTATTGAAATATGCATGAGCCAGCGCTACCATCGGCAAGTCCGAAGAAAGACTTTCTTCCGTTTCCGCTGCGCCAGCACTTTTGCAGATCGATGACGCACTGCCCCCGGCCCCAGCACTCATTCTATTGTACACACTTCGAGGTGCAGTGAAGAACCACACAGAAGTGTGTGGCACACATCGTAAACTAACAGTTTGTAAAATGCTCGAAGAACGCGGCTGTAATTAAATTTATCGGCCGGCAGACGGCACAACTGTTTCGTCCGGCTGTTGGCCCCGTTGGCTGGCTCTATTACCTGTTCTGATTTCAGCGCTGAAAGTGAAACCGTAAATTCTCGGGCTCAGGCTCGGGCTCAGGCTCAGGCCTGGGTCCGATCAAATCAAACATCAGGTGTCGGCATCTTTTTGGGCTAAGGCAACATTTCATTCAGGCCATTGGCTCAGAGCCGGGCCCGGCTGTCGGCGGCCTCATCAAATTTTGGTCAGCTTGTAATTAATTTCATTGCAGCCAAAATAGATACATCTTCCTTGGCCGGGTCAGCGGCACGCTGTGCTGTGCCATATGGCGCTAGTTGAGGTCCTGGCTGCGAGGTCCTGCCCCCACGCCTACCAAACAACGCAGATAGGGTTCGCCCTCACTCTCTCAGTCTTCCTCTCTCTGTCTCTCTCTCTCTCGCTCTCTCTTTCCACACGACCCGCTTAGTTAGTTGCAATTAACACGCCACGCTTCGGTCCTGTGCCGTTCGTGCGCCGACTCATTGGAGTGGGAGTACTGCGAGCTTGGCCAGGCATTTGGCCATAGCTCACTTTTCATCAATTTGGAAACAAACAACAGTTGGCCGAATGCCTTCGCCCGTAGTTTTCCCTAATGAATTCATTCGCTTCACTTTTCGGTCGTAAGCCCGAGTTCATTATCCCCGCGATACACAATTTGATGTGGGCAGTTGTTGGCCGTCGCTGTCCGTTCGTTGGAATTGTTAAAAGGATTGTGCATTCTACAGAATTTATTGGGTGTGTCCGACATATATTAGTGGCCACTCGACGTGCTACCTCTCCCTGCCTCTCTCTCTCTCTCATTGTATATATTATTTTTTGATGGTGTTTTGATAAGCGGTCGAATGTTGTTGGGCTCCTGCCCTCTGAATAATATTTAATTAAAGGGTTCAAAACGAGAGCGAACATTTTACCAAAATGCTCAAAACTATTCCAAAACTGCTGCCATTATGGTGGCTAATTTAAAAACTATACGAAAATCATTTAGACAACAGAAAGTTAGATAACTTATCTCAGCCTGTATCATTATACTTTTTATCCTTGATCTTAAATACTTTATATGTGCATATATCTATTGACGGCTAGCTGTCTCTGCTAAAGTTAGAAACGTATTTAGATGTAGAGTGTTAACCATGCGGAGAAATTTTATATGAAATGAGGCATTTTGAATAAAGTGAATAGAGTCTTCTGCTGGAAGGATCGTACATACTTCTAATGCTTTACAAATGAATTTAATTTTAATTAAAAATTATATTAGAAATTTATTTACACATTTCTTGAAAAAAAAAAAATAAAATAAATAAATAAAAAGAATTTCTTTTCCAAGCTTCAAAACTATCTTAAAATATAACTTATATATATATGTATATATTTATTTATTTTATAATAAATAATATATAAAATATATGTAAATCAAATTAAAATATAATATAGATACAAATATAAACATATATTTTTCTTTCTCTACCTTGCCCACAATTTTCCTGGCGAAAAAAAGTTCTTTTCATTCATTCATTAAAATATAATTTATCTACAATATTACTACTAACAATTTTCTTTGGCAACTTTGCCAAGTTTTGTTGTTCTAATTATGATTTGTGTCGACCATGATTTGCATAGCAAAGGTGAAGGCAATTAATTATCAAACAAAATGGAAAAATTTACATTTTCACAAATAGAAACAAACGCAAATTAACACCTTAAACGCGACTGTAACCTGTGGCAAAGCGGAACTGGCAATCGAATATTGTAGCCTAGCATAGATCGAGCTATATCGCTGCTATATATCCAATTGCACCCACATGCCACTGCAGCACGCCACAAAAAGCTGGCGCCAGATTCCGGGGCGAGTTGCTATACATTTGTTGCTGTTGTTGTTGTTGTTGTTGCATGCATTCGACAGACTTTTCAATTAAAATTCAAATTGATGCAAACAAGTGGCCAAGCCCCATTCCAGTGCCCAATCCCCAGTCACAATTGCTGTTGTTGCTGTTTGTGTTGCTGTTGCAGTTGCAGTTGCATTTGCCAGTACCAGGCCAAGTCCACCAACTTCACAAGTCCAGGTTCAGGCCTCGCATTAACAAATTGAAATTTGCTCGCGCCGCTTTGACAATGCTAACGCCCCCGAGCCAAAGCTCACAGCTGAATTGCCTGATTTCTTTATTTCAATAATTTTGCATAGATTGCCCGTAGAGCCATAAACATTATGTGAATTAGAATGAGTATGAGATTGAGTCTCGCTATAGCCAGGCGAGAGCCAAGAACCGTCAAACTGTCATTTGATGGCGTCGCCATTGACGCCCGATTATATCGCCAATAATTGGAATTGCCTTTTGGCAAAGCTTGTCCAAAACTTACGATTTTCAGTCAGCCGGCTGCTAAATATATAGTTCAAAGTCAAAGTTATCGTATCTGCCCCACAGATCGGCAGTGGCTGTTGATTAATTGCCAGGGTGAGTGTCGCATAGCCCGCAGGCAAATGGGAGGGCCTGCACAGAGACTAGCTCCTATATATAAAGGTTTTCACGACTTGAAAGTGCACGAAGTTTTAATTGTATATAATATACTGAGTTATTTATAGAACTATATAGGTATATACATATTATATTATACATACTCTAAAGCATAGATCGAACAAATTATAATTGCAAGATTGAAAGACATCAAAAAGGAAAAACAATTTATCTTTATATGTATGTGAATGGAGATCAGACTAAAAGTCAATATTAAATTAAAATGCATTTATTTTTTATTTTTATTAATATTTTGTCATTAAATATTAAATAAATATAATATTAAAATATAATATTAAAAAAAAATAAATATAAAATATATTAAAATATCTTAGTATAAATTATTAAAGTATATAAATAAAATATAACATTTTATCTATAAAACATAATTTTATTATTAAAAAATTAATTATTTTAAAAATATATTTTGTCATAATTATTATAATTAATTTATTTTAAAGAAAAATTTTTTATTTGCAAAAAATATAAAATATATATATAATAATATGAAATATATTTAATATATATGAATATTAAAATATATTTGAATACACACAGCGTGCTGCAGCGGCTCATAAGTGGGAGCCGACTTTTGAAAGAGATATTACAAATTGAAATGTTTAATAAATAATAAGAGCTGTGCACTTCAATTGCAACAATGTCTATCATCCATAAAAATAATTAACTTGTACTATATACAAAGCTCATATAAATACAAAATTATTATAATAATAATCGGAAATAGTTTGATTTTATATTAAATATTTAAATACATTATATTACTTTGTAATATATAAACATACGTTATATTCCTTATTCGATCATCCTGTTACTCCCCATTATATACCTTTTAATCTAAGCTCAGTTACCAGTGCTAAATTCTTAAGTTGGCCTTAATTTTATATTAATTCTACTCTCTAACAGCTAAATATCTTTATCTCTATCTACATTCACATCTCGAACTCCGCCAACCTCTTTGCGATTACATCTTCGAATTAAAATTGAGCTGGCTATCAACTCGAATCGTTTAGTGTTTTGCATGTTCTACTTACAACTCGCTTTTTGGAAAGTTCTGTCACTTCCGCTTAGTCATTGTCAGGCGTTCCACACGCAGTTGCGACATGCCACACATATTTGCATGCCACACATTTACGCTGCCGTTTGCAGTTTTGCTCCAGCAACATTTCCTAGTTTTGCGGTCGGTCAAAAGTCTTCCTGGAGTAGAGTTACGGCAAGTGCAGAGGCCCCCAGCTCTCACTGAGTGTGCTGCAACAGCAACAGCAACGGCAAAAGCAACGGCAACAACAACAAGCGACTCTTAACTGGCAAGCATAATGCAACATGACATGCGCCGCATGTGCAACACAACAGCCGAGCAAATGTTGCAAATATGAGTTCATTATTTAAACGTTGACCAAAAACAAATTGACAAGTAAATGCGGCACATGGCTGACTTTTGGTGTCCAGCTGAAGTCTTGGCTTTGCGTTCCACTTTGGAGCTGGGCTCTATGGTCATAGTGGTTTCTAGGTGGGTTCGTATTTCTGCTCCAATAGATGCCGCTGATATTGTGCGCATGCGACGACGCTCTTGTTATTGTTGCACACACACACACACACACACACACACACATAGAGACATAGAGCGACGCAGGCGTCATCAACGCGCACACATTTTGCTCTTAAACGGACGACGCGTTGGCCGCTCCGCGTGCCACTTCAAAGGCCTGAAAACCGACAGAGCGCCAGCACCACGCACCACGCCGCACCACAAGCTAGGCTAGGCTGGCTGGCAGGCAGGCAGGCGCCTTCTTTGGTGGCTTGATCTTTGGCCGGGGCTCGGGCCGTTGCCCAGTTGAGTTGCGCTTGGACGCACTTCCCACTTGTTTGTTCGCTCATTCGTTTTGCAGTTATGAGATGCCAGCAACAACAACAACAACAACAACAAGAACAACAGCATCAGCATAGAGCCAACTTGTTAACGCTTTGGCCTACAGTTGAAAACTTGCGCCTCATCCTCTAAACGCCCAATGGCTTGTTGTTGCTGTTGTTGTTGTTGTTGTCGTTGTTAATGATGCCTTATAATGCCAGCGCGCCTGATTTGCCACAATTTATTATGAAAATCGTAATAATCTGCAAGATTTCTGAACCCACAAGACGCATTTGTCTTTGACGTCGGCGGCGTCATTCGCTTATCTTCTGGTGGCGTCCTGGCCACAGTTCCCATCCGTCAGCGTCGGCGCGTCGATAGCTGGTTAATGCTTTAGCCTGGCCAAGAAACACGATACGCAATGCTAGCTCTACCCCGTCGCCCTTCCTCACCCCTGCACCGACTGCCCCTTACACCCACCCAGCCAGCAGCTGCAGCTGGAGCTGCAGTTGGAGCTCTCTCGCTGCGCGTGTCATATTGGCATTTCCTCTTTTGGCGGGCAACGCCTACGTGACGCTAGACGAGGCTCGGCGGCGTCCAGGGAGGCGGCTCGTCTTAAATCGTTTTCGAATTGATTTTTGCCGTCAAATTTGCACAGCCAGAGCCCAGCCGCATCCCACCTTGGCCATTGTGGATGTCGTTCGCTTCATGTTGCGCTTGTTGTCGTCGCAAAATGTTACTAATAGTTCGAAATTACAAGCCAACAGTCGTTCGGTGCCCATTGACTACGCCAGAGCACGAGCTCAGCCACGAGTAGGTGGTGCCGCGAGTCGCATTGATAAATGATGGACAGCCGTCAGCTAAATGCATCATATATAAGACTTTATTTGACATGCAGGCAATCAAATGCTTGAGCTGAATTATTAATATATAAAGCAAGTGACAGGATTTGAAGTAGATAAATATTTGCATTGGCCGTTTAGTGCACTTAATGAATGTAATTTGGAGTAAATCCATCAACTTGCTTCAAATAGAATAATGTAATATTTTTTTTTTTTTTAATTTTTGTATGGCTAAAAATACTATAAAAATACATATTAGAAAGTTTTGACAGGAATATAAATGTCTAATTGATATTCTATTCAAATAATATACTTTCATAGGGCAACAATATTAAAATAATAATAAAATGAATAAGAATATATTATACAATGGCTCACTAAAATCATATTTCTTATATATTTTATTTTAATAAATTTATGTATTTGTAATTCCTTTGTTAGTATAAAAAATAATAATTTAAAATAATATTTTTTTTTTAAGTCAAATAAAAATAGATTATTTTACACATTTTTTTAAAAATGATATTAAATGAAATTTACAACTTAAATCATAATAAAATTGCGTTTCTCCCATTTCCAATTGATAAAGTGTAAAAACACTTGTACTCACATATATTGATAAGTCTTTTCGCATATTCATCGCAATCAGCTTAATGACCATCTAAATCTCTATACTCTATCGACAATATAACGTTCGGCTATTGAATTTCCCATAAAGAATACGCCAAATACAATTTAATCGATTTAAGACAAATTGAAATGCCAACAAG